TTTAGTGTTTATATTTGACCTGCATTCTGTGGACTATGCAATGATTGGCAATTTAAAGCTAAATATTGTTAAAACTGAGGACTTTTATCTTATTTTTGACCTAAATGGGTGTGTAATGTTATAACTCATCATTTATTTGTCTGCAGGTCAAGAGCTATTGACCCTATTCTGAGCAACAATTGAAAGTATTTTTTTACTGCACAAGAAACCAATGGCACACAGCGAGAATTAGCGAACAAGGAAGGAAAAGAACAAGAGGGATTGAATGACACGCAGTCAGTTAACACCTCCACCCCAGACTTACCAACTACATCTCTTAACAGACATTTCAATGGAGCCTTATCAGAGAAGTGGGTTAATGAGTAATATTTATTAAGGGATATCTAATGGCTCTGGCATGCTTTTGGATCAAAGCCAACAGCTTGTTTCAAAACCACTATTGAAGTACTACTAAACCTTTGACCCCCCTACTATCAAGTATGAATAGATGGATGGATGGATGGATGGATGGATGTCCAAACAATTGCTTCATTGAGGGTCATGAGCGTTTCTTAGCAGAGTCAACATGAGAGCTGTGAGACTGATGAAGTGAGCTGACTTATCAGGAATAATGGCTTTAACACTACTCTTCAGATAGCAGCAACAATCCCTTACTGCAGCCTGCAGCTGGTTGACTGACAGAAGTAATCAAGTGGCAGGGATTTAAATTGGAATGACTTTAAAATCACATAAAAATAGTGTTAGGATAAAAAAAGAAAAATGATTGTATTAACTTAAAACCCCTAGATATTGCTAAACATTGCACTGCAGATTTTTTCAGATGAACCTCAAAGAAATACTGCAATTATAGAAGATTGATGTTTACTGACCCAGATAAACTACTATTAGCAAAGTAATTACTGTGCTTGCTTTAGCAGGTCACTTCCACTAGCTTACTGTATCAATAGTGATGTGTGTTAGGAAGAATCTTTAATTCTCTATCGGGTTTTAGTGATGGGCATTGAAATCAAGCATTAAATTCTCCTGCTGACCAATGGGTTCCATGGTGAATTATGTCACCATGATGAGAAGAAACGCAACTTTGTGACAATCGAGGTGTTTGTGAGTAAGGTGGAGATGAATTGATTATCACTAAAAAAATAAAATGCACTGAGTGGTAATGTGTTGCTGATGCGGTTAATGCAGTGAGTGAGAATGAGTATGACAGAGAGGAGTGTGCCTGAAATACAAAAAAGTATGTCTCATCGTCAGAATGTGAGGGAACTTGTTGTGTCGCCTCTACGTATTCTAATAATCCAAAACAACAAGATTATTAAATTCACAGAGACAGCTGCAATATCCCAAATCTACAAAATTTAACAGAATTATATTATTCCCAAAAGCTGCTTTAAGCAGGAAGGTAAAAAGTATACAGTGTTATTCATATCAAACACATTCCTGTTGCATAATTAACCCAGAGTGGTGAGTAATTGTGTTTGAACATGGATTGGTTTGGTTCTGTTTGATCTGTCTGTGTAATACTGGATTCTGATCAACACAAAGAGCCAAGTTTACAGCTCTATAGAGTCTGTCAGTTGATGAGTCAGTCATCATCATGGGCCAGAAAATCGTAAAACTTGTTTCCTACTAATCTTTCTATCCACGTACAGCTCTGTCAGTGCTAGTGCATCCATCACCCAGCAATACGCACGAGTGTCATCGCAGTATTTATGCTCACAGCAATTGGACCGATTACTTCACACAGAAGTGTATCCTAACCTCCACTCTGGGTGATCATTTGAAAATTGAAGTTTAAAGGTGAACACAGTTTATTTATTTATGGTAAATGGTCTCTAGTGCGCGCTGTGCGCTCCATGCGACTGACAGAACTGTCATGGTCACTGCAGCGATTTTACACACACACACACACACCTACAAGTGCACACTGTCTCCCTTCAAGTTTGTTTTTATATATCCCAAAGTTTGTGTGAGAAGTGGCGTGCGCACAAAATGGGGTCTGAAACATGCGTATGCAACGGTTGTAAATAAGGCCCCAAAGTATTTCTGGTGTTTTATTTAGTTAGGACTATGTTCATGGAAAAAGCTGCAAATAAACAGCAAATGTAATGCATTACTGCATTTAACATATTATAATATATTGTGTATTTTGTAGTCTCGCTCTTGATCAGAGGAGTTACTGTGAAAGCATGTCTGCCCAGCTGCAAGGTGTTTGTTGAGTTGATAGTTGCTCTGGCTTGGAACTGTCTGCTTTTTTTAAGTTCTCATGTCACATACAACCTGTATATTATCTAGAGACACTACAGGAAAACTGTTTCTGATAAAGCTGTGTCGCTGCTCTGAGCTAAATGATCTCACATCACCTGAATCTTTCATGTACGGTCTGACCTAATTTACAATGCATGCACTAAACATTTCATTCAACCACCAAAGATTCAACAATAAATACTAAAACAATGTTCTTCTGTACAGGAGAAGTGCAGTTACAATAGTGTCAATCATTTTGTAACCTTGTGATTAGCAGCATCTAGTATGAACTCAGCCCTGACTCCGTTGTTCTCTGGGCTGCGGTAGTCAAACAGGGAGTTGGTCAGGTAAGTCATTCCTTTACTGCTTAGGCTGTCCCCACAGCTGAAGAATACTGCATCCTAAAGACAAGCAGAAAATAAGGAAAATGAGGAGAAAAGTGAAGAAGAGGACGTTCAGAGAATAAAATAAATATTATTTCAGATGTTGCAAAATACAAAATCTTCCCAAATCGATTTGTTATCAATATTGGCTGTTGAACAATTTATAATAACAACCTTTCAAAAATTCAAATAGAAACGCACAGTTAACAGAGTTGATTAAATACACTGATGTCAATGACATACAATTATACAATATGATGAATTTCAAATCAAATCACACTATCATCATCATCATAACCTTCTGAAAGCTCCTACATGCAGCAGGAGACATGCTTTTAGGTGTAAGTATATCTTTAAAAATTTTAATTTTTCATACTCATGTTTTGTTTTTCAAATTATTTTTACCTCTTCTCTTCGGTTCATGTTTTCCTCAAAATCTCGTACTCCCATGATGCTTTTCAAGCAAAGGGCACGGCAGCCAACAATGCCAATCTGACAATCAAAGAAGGGCTCGCCCATCATCAGAACCTGGAATAAAGACCAAAGGAAAAACTTTAACTGGTAAAAAATAAAAACAGAAAATGTTTAAATCAAATAAAACAAATATTAATAACTTTATCTGGATGGTAGATACATTTGTATGGAGGATGTGACAGTATGAGGTACTTCAGAACTGAACAGAGAGAGCTTCAGAACAATGTCTTCTCCAAAGAGAACACACAGGTAGTTCCCCAAACAAATTAACTTCACTGAATTTCCTCTTTAAATCACAAAAAATAATACATTTTATGTCTCAATTATTTATTTATCACATGGTTGGGGGTTCATTTCATTAGAATGGAAAGAGCAGGGGTCAGACAGTCCCCTTGATAGTGGTGTATGCGTGTGTCTGGTAGTGGTCCAGCCGGCCCTGTAACCAGCAAGGTGTGGTTGTCCCTAACTCACCATGCCTTTTGCTGTACCCAGCAGACAGCTCAAAAGAGAGCAACCCAATAAACCTTTACGTTTCGCCACAAAATAATTACAAGGCTTAGTTTTCCTAGCCATCCCTTTGCCTTTTAATGCTCTCACTTTTGGTCCAAGTTCAGATTGCTTTCCCTCTCTTCAAGAAGAAGCATAAATTACAGAAATTGGAATTGGAAATCTCTCAGATTTCTCACATCTGGTAAAACACTTAGGAGCAGAAAACCCCTTTCCTACTCCAACCAGGTAATCAGAGAAAAAGGTTTAAAATACTTTCTACTCTGAGGGGGAAATGCGGAAATGATCAGACTTGGGTTCCATTCAAACACAGATTCCAATATGTTCGCAACAGGCCACAGATTAGTGACCTGGATGGGCTTTATAAATGTACTTGACGGAGGGAACCCCTGTCTAAAAGCAAATAATAAGGGAGAATATAAATATTGATGGGAAAAAAAGAAAGGACAGCGAACTTTGTAGGTTGGTTATTGGACCAGGTGAGAGTTCTTTCAAGAGAAGAGGCTTTTGGTTATTTACTCAAACAAAAAGCTGTCATTGTTTATTTAGCAAATCACTGTTAATGATATGCAATTTGGACAAATGAATGATAATTAATGCAATATAAATAAAATAGTAAAAGACAAAAATCCATAAATCACTATCAGTCATAAATATAAAAGCAGACAGGGAAATAATTACCTCAATAGTGATTCCCTGTTGCTCCAGGCACAGGACCTCTCTGGATTTGACCTTCTGTGGACTGTAGTAGCTGCTCTCTGAATGAGTCTCTGTCAGCTGAGACAGAAGGAAGACAGACCACATCCATTTAATATTCTTCAGACTGATTAGAGATCGACCCAAATAGAAGACAAATATCAAAATCAAAGGTCAAAGCTTGCCTTGGAAGAAAAGGCATTGTAATCATACAGGATTCAAAAAGCAGATTAGATGATTAAAAGAAAAGTTAAACCAGATCGAGACTGAATTAAAAATGTATAGCACTAAATGAGTACAGAGGAAATTGTGTCACCTCAAAATAGATAGTTACAGCAACAGTACAAATGTCACAACGAAGCAACACTTAAAACTGGAAGGCTTATTGCTCATTGTGTGTGTGCGTGAGTACCCACAATTCCCTGCTGAAACTGATGCATGATTTGAAAAATAAACAAAAGCTATGTAACTCTTTGGATGTGAGGGACAATGAGGCCCCCAAAAAATAATGCTGAAAACCAGAAACAATAACAACCAAACAAGTACAGATGACATTTTCTTAGATCAGAAACTGGACTGGAGCCTTGGGACTTTTCGGTTCTTTTCTCTTCCAAGTTTGGATTCAGGCCAAAGACATTCATCAAACCACATGACACTGTCGCTCCTCTGTGATTTTAAGGGGAGGCCCTCTCTGGCTTCATTGAGGACGGCAATCAAAAAACGTCTAAAGCACTCAAAACATCAAGTGGGAAAATGATAATGTACAAGTGACTGGTCATTGACAATTCACACAACTTGATAAAAAAAGAGGAATTGTTTATCGTGTGTAGAGATAGTATGGAGGTAGATGAAGAGAGAGAGTCCTTGGTCAAATTTAGCTGGTTAGGGTAAGAGGGGTAAATAGCTCTGATCATTTTGAGGTTGGCCAGTCTACAAACTGTGCGTGTAGAACTGTGCAGGCACAAACCCATTCAACTTGAACACAGGAAGCAGGTGCAGAGCTACAGGCAGCTGTGCCTTATTATCCCTAGTGATGGAGCAGACTCTCTCACCCTAGCTCCCTTCCCCTCTTTCAATTCTGATGGTTTGCTCACGTGCAGGAGCCACCCCACCACAACCACAATGTTCCTGGGAGCAGCTAAAGCGTTAGTGCACAGTGGCACTGACAGAATTATAACCAATCAGATAGAGACACACATCCTCAATGTTTATCCCATAACAATCTGATCACCTTGACATTGCCCAAACTAGACTGGCAGGGCATTTTGGGCCTAAAACAACACAGCAGACAGGACAGAGCAGCAGCATAGCATTGGCGCACCGACACAGATGCTTAATATAGTCAGTAATATACATGGCTGCTGCTACTGCTTCCTCTCCATTATTATTTTTCTACCCATTTAAAGGCTGTGAGAGTCCAACATAAATGTAACACAGAAGAAAAGATCTGATGGAAAAAGAAAAAAAAAGACTAGAAATTTGCTTTTGTGGAAATCAATCGAAATACCCAAATTAAAAAAACTAAATGAAATAGAGTATGAAGTCTGGCATGGAATGACAGTTTGGCAGGTGTGCAAAAATGAAAAAAGGGGAACAAATGGTCAGTGCAAAACTATGCATTATGTGTTTAAAAGTCATAACAGTGAACTGCCAACTTCTCTGATCAAACAGATCTAAGGAGTAATGCGTCAGCAATCTAAAAATACCTCTGATTTCACATGCATGTCAAACTCAGGTTCAGGCAGTGGCTGTTCAAAGACATGAAACTCCCTCAAACTAAATACTTCCTTGTAGGAAAGCGGCAAGAACGTTTAAAAAACCATCCTTTCAGCTGTCTGCAATTACTGCAGATGAGAGGCAATTAATTGATTAAAAGAACTCAAACAATACAGGAACAGTTTAAACATTATTAGAAAAGTACCAAGGTCTGTTTGTCATGAGACATACCTCCCTTTAGCTGTAACACACTCACACACACACACACACACACACACACACACACGCACGCACCCACACTGGGTAATGTGATCTGAGGTGCCTGAACCTGAGGGGAAACACAGATGAATTCCAACCGTTCTAAATGTGAGCCGGCAGGATTAAAGTTTGGGATCCATTTCTGAATAGTCATCATACCATGTATAATGTTTAAGACATTAACGTGACCCAAGACACCAGTTAGTGGTTAAACTACCCATGTACCTTAGACAGAGACAAAGAGGACTGAAACTTCCTAAGGATCAAGCTGCCCTTAAAGACTCCAACTTAAAATAACCACAGAATAGAAGTAGGGGTGGGCAGTATGAGTAAATAAAAACTAAAATAGCAATGGAAACAAAAAAATATCACTATATCTTAAATTCAGAAAATTGTAAATCATGATTATGTTTCATTATCAGCAGAATGTATTTATTATGAAAGCCCCAATTGTGTAAAACCCACATACAGACATTGACCTTCTCGTCTTCACCATCTACCCATACGTTTGTTTGTTTGGATGTGAAAATATGTGGATTTTTTGCATCATTATATAATGTATGTTTCACTGGGATACATTATATTATTTGAGAGCATTTCTTAATAACATTCATACCACATCATTATGCAGCATGATGCAGAATACTGAGCAATTTCCTTACTTTTGACATAAAACCTTCCTTGTTCCCAAAAACCCAAAACAGGACTCCATGTGGAAAAACTATATATAAAACTGTAGCTGATTTACCTTAAAGGTAACAGACGCTTTGGTGCAGTAGAAGCCTATGGAGACAATGGGATCTTTGTGTGCGCTTTGCTGGGGGCTGTTGGAGATGCTTCCAGGGTCTCTCTGCTGGTAGAGATCTTCCTCACCTTCCTCCTCTATGGTTACAATGGCTGGGACAAATGACCACGCCCAGGACACCCAGCCTTGGTCTGCATCTTCAGGACTCCCAGACAGCATGTAAAGGTCTGTGGTAGTCCCTGGGTTTTCCACATCCACATCCATCGCTGGGGAGGACATAAGTCACAATTAGTTGTAATGCAAATGTAGGTAGATCATGAGTCAGGGTTAGTGCCTGTAGGTCTGTTTTTACTTCAATAAAGTCCTCTTGAGGTGCTTAAAATAAAGATTTAAACAGTGGCAAGTCACACTTCCATCACTAAAAGCACAAAATGTAGATTTAATAAAATGTCAAAAGCACTCTAAATAAGAATCATACAAAAACAGAGGGCCATTATCTTGTCAAAGAAAGAAATGTGTTACATAGAGTTGCTAAATTCATGTTACATTCAAATCAGGGTTCAGATGAAAAACACTCAATAGTATTTAACTCCAACAGATGAATCAATTATCAGAACAAACTGGTCAAATGGAGAGAAAACCGTTGATAATTGAAGTGTCTGTGCCCAATACAGCAAACTAATTTAATTTGTCCATGCCTTCAGGGGAATTTAATACAAGCAAGTTGTTTCAGTTGTCAACTGAATGCACAAAAACAGCTCAACCAAGGCAGTTCCACAGTAGTTGCTGCCAATGCTCCAGAATGCAGGTGTGCATGAGTATTTTTGTGCTGCATGAACTCTACAGAGCGAGCAAGGGGAAGCCCATTCCAGTGGAGGCCAGAGGGAACAGCCTGTCAGCCAGCCTCCTGACAGGGGTGAGCCTTGACTGGGCCCAGTGGATCACTGTGGTCAGGGCTGTTTGAGCTGGACACAGTAACACCACATCCACAAACGCTTTCAACGAGGGTCATATATTTACATAGAGCCAACAGGCTGAAATAATGGCCAAAAGAGAGGCTGAGTTACTATGATCATCAGCACAAGTTGAGCTTGGCTGAGGGTGCAGGTGACTGTGGGACTGTACAAACTAAGCTGAAGGATGTGGGGTGATTGGTCTCACTGTCTACGCTTTGACAGAGTGCAAGGGGTTGAATGAAGCTCTGGCTTCTGTAAAGCAATGGCCTCACATCAGGTGAAGAGGGTAAGTTAGTTTAAAGATGCACAAAATGGGACATTATAACATGGACTAAAGAAAAAGAAGTTTAAAGCCGTCAATGGGCCAATTATGTCAGCATCTGAAAACATAAGCAAATGTAAGGAAGTATGTGGATGATGAATAGGATGTGAGTCAGTGGACTGGCATTTTAGTGGTGTCCCCAACAAAGGATAGGCAGAAGTGTGGAGAAGCCTTTCTATTCTAATTTCTTTCTCCTGTTTCTTAGCAAGCAATCTGGGGGTTCACAGGTTCCCCAAACCACCACGCACCACCCCAGTCCCTCATCCCTTCCTCTAAACTCATCCCATCGTGTCTGTTTCCATACACACAGGGAGAGAGGAAGCTGATGTCAATACACAAGTATGTGCAATCCCATTCCTCGTGGCCTCACGTCCTCTGTGTGAAAACAATATAGTCCGTGAGGTCACATCTTAGGAATCCCAGAGGCTAAGGCGGTGAAAATTATGACATATTTTAATTCAATCTTTCACTTTGTGAATTGGCAGTTGGAAATCCTGTGTTATAGTTTATTAGTCAACCCCCTCCAACCTCCCTGTCCTGTGTGACTCTCCTTTCTCTTTTTTCCTTTTTGTTTTCACTCCACGAAGCCTTTGAGATGTCAGTTCAACAAGTTAAGCTCTTTCGCTTCACATCACTGGCTGATGAAGCCTATGTTTGAAATGCAGGGCAATCAAAATAAAAGCACAATTACCAATCAAGTGATCAAAACAGACCGGCTTAGGGGGACTTTGAAGTATTAATCCAAAGAGGTGACTGAAAAATTCCCAGAGAGTGATGTGGGCTGGTCAAAATAAATGCTGCTGTGGAGTAAAGCTCTATCACCCCACAGGTGTAACATACAACCTAAACTGGTTTCTAAATTGTCCATGAGAGCAATCAGAGTGTCACTGCATTTTTTCAAGGACAACGAGTAATATCAGAGTTTCCATACACAGAGCTCACAGCACTATGTAATGGGATATGTCAAGGTCAAAGTTGGTTTCCATGAGTCCAAAGTCTGCAGGCAGTGGTGTATGTCTAAGCTTGCAAGGGAGGGATGGTGCAAGTTAGTGAAGAGCTAAGTGACAGAGATAGTAAGAAGGGAGGATTGAGAAAGGCAGTGCCCTCACAGGCCAGTAGATGTCCCTCCATGTTTATAGAGGGAGAGGTGAACTGAATACCTGACCACTGAGCTGTGGCTCTGTGTTCAGGTATTCAGTTCTTCTGGTCACCTCATGCACGTGCTGAGTGTACATTTGGTCAGCGCGTGTACATGTCTGATGGTTAATTCCATTGGCTGACCTTGGCTTTTCTACAAAATCCATAGTAAATCCATACTGAGTGCAGAACATCTACGTGCACCGCTGGACAAACAACTACTCCTAGCATTCATACACATCGTCAAATACACACACCCTGCCACACTCCTCAGTTCATAATTCTTCACATAGTTGTTGAAACTGAACAGCTTTCAATGTCGTGACCAGCTGCTCTATTCAAGAATGTTAGTCATCTGTGTTTCCAACTGCTGAAATTTCAGTGACTTCATTGAATATCAGACAGTAGGAATACAAGCCGTCTTTTCGTGACTGTAAGGTTGCTTTGGTTAGTGACACACAAGTTTCTCATACCGTGGGCAGACTGAAACAATAATTCAGGCTGGGAATGCAACTCCATCCCTGGTCATCCACACGCAAACCCTCAGCCAACTAATTTTGGAAGGCTAACCCTATTTGATGATCTAACAGGTAGCAGAGTTGCTATTATGATGGTCACTATGTTCATCTTGGAAGATGATTCACTTCTTCACATGGGATAATACAAAAATGTGTGACTTATCTACAGACAAAATAAATATTTTAAATTATCTTTTTTTTTTTTTAACAAGATTGCAAAGTATATTACAGGAGAAAATATAGGCTGATGCTTGCTACATTGTCATAACAGGAACCTGTTGTAGGTTATAACAATGTCGATAAGTTGATAAATCACTGCGTGAAGGGCAGTAGTTTTACAGTGTGCTCGCTCTATCAATCTCTAAAGGAGGGTAAACAAAAGCCATGCAACTGCTTTCTGTTAAAAACGCTTCATTTTTCCAACTGCTCATCAACAATGGATGATTGTTATTATTGATGGCCATCATCCAAGGCAGACCATAGCAAACTAAATGTTGAAAGACATGGCTGGCAGCAGCACTGCAGCAGCAACGGTGTGGAAACACACATGCCTGCAAGTCACAACAGTTCAGTGAGGTAGCTGTTATTTAAAGCTGAAGTAAGAGTTGCGGTTGATGCAAGAGGTCTGTCAACTAATTCTGTTTGTATCATGACTGGTCAAGTTGACTGTTCATGGCCAAAAAGACACTCAGGCCATCGTGAACGGTCTGAGTTCTCCTGATTAGTGCTTTTCATCTAAGGGGAAGTCCACCGAAAAATTAAAATTCACTCATCATCTACTCACCACTCTGCCAATGAATGGTTGGGTGTGTGTTTTAGTCCACAAAACACTTCTGGATTTTAAGGGGTAAACTTTGCTGCAGCCGAATCCGATTCAATTGAAGCCCCGACATTAATATTCGACTCGAAACAAGGGCATTTACAATGTGTTTTTAGCATAAAAGTCCACTGGAAGTGGCTAAGCTAGCGGCGAAGCACCACGATGGTGTGTCTGAGGGTCCGTGAACACACCTCGTAGAAAGATATCAGTGGACATTTAGGCTTAAACACTTGACACCACACGAGCAGTATGGAGGCATGTTATGTTTTTCTGTTTTATTACGTCTGAAGTGTATGTCGACCATTGACTTCAATTGTATGTCCAAAAATCTTTTGTGGACTCAAACACTTCACCCACCCCTGGTGAGTAGATGATGAGTGTATTTTAAATTTTTGGTGAACTATCCCTTTAAGGAGTCATTGGCTCCTACCTAAAAGAGAAAGATTCAAAGAAGAACATGCAGCCACAGTGAATCATGGAAACATAAACGCATTACAAAGCTTTTTCCACTTTGTTAATTGGCAAAAAGAAAACCCCTTCACATGGGGGCAAAAATTAATATTCACTTTGAAATGTTCTGGAAAGACCAGCTTTTAATTAAAGACAAGAGCTTATTAAAACAGTGCAGAGTGGATTCAGACTAAATCCATCCTCAATCTTTTGTCCACATATCCACATAAACAAATAGATGCACACATGCACACATGCACAGGGTCATGTCTAAGTAAGAGCAAAAAAAGAAACAAACACACCAACAAATGCAGTCTTGAAGAAGTTGAGCCAGAATCATGTTCCACTAATTGTTTGGCAATGATTGTTTCCTAAACACTACAACCAACTAAAAATAAATGATGATGCAAGCCAGGTCAGTTACTGTGAGCATCAACATACATAATTGTGTAGCACTCAGAACCAATCTGTGGTAAAAGGCTTTCTTTACTAGTTAAAAGAAAAAGACACAAGATACTGTATTTTCATATAACAAATAATCATTTAAGCTGTAATTCTCCCACTATTGTCCACAAAAGCACCTTTCTTACTTAAATCTGACATGATAAACTGAAAACCATATGTTTGTGAACAAGCCCAAAAGGCTCCCTAACCCCAGCCCGACAACCATACACACAGAAGTGCCCCCCTTCAACTTCTTTACTCTGACGATTACTTCCAGCATAACAAGATGCTCAGGTTCCAAGAGCAGGTCCCCTCTTGTATATTTTTGTGATGGGATATTAATTCATTCTCTGAGACTCCACATAGCAGTAGCATGACACTCACTCTTACATCTGGCATGGGACACTGAACTGGAAGCCGCGCAAATAACTTTCAGTTTAAGTTCCAGGCCAACAGGGAGCAAGTTAGAGGGAGTGAACAAATGGGCTGTTTTGTGTTGGGCTGCTTGCTTCCCCTCTGCCCACCACTTCCCCTCCACGGTAATTTGCTCCTGGTGCTCAAGAGGCTAATTTAGCCCAGCAGGGAGATTTAATCCTGTTCTATTTGGTTGATGAGGATAAACAATCAGTGAGAGGTGAGATGAAGAAGAAAGCAGTCTTTTTTTTTTCAAAGGTGCTGGCTGGAGGTTTAAAAGGAGACTATGTGGTCTATATTTGCATCTCTGTGTGTGTGTGTGTGTGCGTGTGTATCAGCTCCATGTGTGTATTTTCTGAGCTCCAGGAAATGTGGAGTGTGGTTTCCAATGGTGCTCCAGTCAAAAAGACAGAGATGGGCCTGTATTTGATTCATCCTTATTTCTTCCCTTTATCCTCCTCTCTCCTGACTTTGTCCACATGGAGAGGTTCAGACCTGACGACAACAGTCTGTGTTGAGTTACACGCTCTGGCTTTTGTTTGTGGAAAAAGCAGGAGGAGCGCACACCATGGTCAAAGTGATGTTTAATGTCCCATTTAGGAACAACGGCGGCATATGGACAGACATAGCCCCTGAACACAACAAGGCAACATGCAGAGCATCATGAGCTGTCTAAGAAAAATGTCAAAGCTCTGCAGATCTTTGGATGGCTCACTTCAGAGCTTTGTCTGAGAGATAAGACTGCTGTATGAGACATATTATTACACAAATTCACCATCTTTTCACCCAGAGATCTTAATATAAAATGTTTTAATTCATTTTGATAAATTAAAATGATGCCTTTAGCAAAATTAAGATCTATCAATGTATACACTCACCGGCAACTTTATTAGGCACACCTGTTCAATTGCTTCTAAACAAGAAAAGCTTATCAGCCAATCACATGGCAGTAACTCAATGCATTTAGGCATCTAGACGTGGTGAAGACGACTTGCTGAAGTTCAAACCGAGCATCAGAATGGGGAAGAAAGGGGATTTAAGTGACTTTGAACGTGGCATGGTTGTTGGTGCCAGACGGGCTGGTCTGAGTATTTCAAAAACTGCTGATCTACTGGGATTTTCACGCACAACCATCTCTAGGGTTTACAGAGAATGGTCCAAAAAAGAGAAAATATCCAGTGAGCGGCAGTTGTGTGGATAAAAATGCCTTGTTGATGTCAGAGGAGAAGGGGTAGAGTTGTTCGAGATGATAGAAAGGCAACAGCAACTCAACTAACCACTTGTTACAACCAAGGTATGCAGAATACCATCTCTGAACGCACAACACGTGGAACCTTGAAGCAGATGGGCCATAGCAGCAGAAGACCACACCGGGGGCCACTCCTGTCAGCTAACAGGAAACTGAGGCTACAATTCACAGGCTCACCAAAACTGGACAGTAGAAGATTGTGAAAAAACGTTGCCTGGTCTGATGAGTCTCGATTTCAGCTGTGACATTCAGATGGTAGGGTCAGAATTTGATGTAAACAACATTAAAGCATGGATCCATCCTGCCTTGTATCAACGGTTCAGGCTGGTGCTGGTGGTGTAATGGTGTGGGGGATATTTTCTTGGCACACTTTGGGCCCCTTAGTACCAATTGAGCATCGTGTAAACACCACGGCCTACCTAGGCCTGGGACCATAACAAATTTTGCTGGACGATATATTGTCACACGAATTATTGCCGATAAACGATATTATTGTCAACATGATAATATATAATAATAATGCACACCCTTTCAAAGACAATACACTTTTATTTCTCAGTGTTTTTTTTACCTTTAGCGATGTAGCGAACTTAACTTTCAATGAGCGCACACCATTTTGCGCTGTTCCGTTTATATTGACTTTGTCGACCGAACGCCTCAGTGAGTGTTGACTGTCGGGACGAAGGCTCTGCATCTCGAGCTGCACTTTGTTTCCCAGCTGGTTAAACTGGGTCGGGTGGTGATGCTTCAGGTGGGCATGCAACTTTGTACTGTTGCCTTTTTTCGCTGCCACCACTTTTGAACTGGCTCGTCCGTGTTGATGGGCTCACCTTGCTCATTAGCTTGGAGCCGAAACCTTCCCACACCGGGGCTGTGGCGTTTGGCTTTGCAATCATCTTTTCTCCTCGCGTTGCTCCGCACGACACTCACTCGCTGCACTCTGTGCGTGTAGCACGTGTAGCTAATGCTAGCGGCCCCGCCTCCCCCCACAGAGACAAAGAGGCTGGYTGACTGACAAGAGGGTTCACTCCGTTCATTCCGCAACCAACGCCCCCAGGTGCTGAGACCGAGCACAGAGTGAACCCTCTTGTCATCCAGCCTGCTTGGAGGCGAGAGACGAGAAAAACAAACACGAATGCACATGGCGATATATCGAGGCCGGCAAAATGATCGAGTTCATTTTAATTTATCGTGCGATTAATTGATTTATTGATGAGCGGCCCAGGCCTAGGCCTACCTGAGTATTGTTGCTGACCATGTCCATCCCTTTATGACCACAGTGTACCCATCTTCTGATGGCTACTTCCAGCAGGATAATGCACCATGTCACAAAGCTCACATCATCTTAAACTGGTTTCTTGAACATGGGTTCACTGTACTCCAATGGCCTCCACAGTCACCAGATCGCAATCCAATAAAGCACCGTTGGGATGTGGTGGAACAGGAGATTCGCATCATGGATGTGCAGCCAGCAAATCTGCAGCACCCGCGTGATGCTATCATGTCAATATGAACCAAAATCTCTGAGGAATGTTTCCAACACCTTGTTGAATCTATGCTACGACGAATTAAGGCAGTTCCAAAGGCTAAAAGGGGTCCAACCCGGTACTAGCAAAGAGTATAGGATAATAATAATAATCTATTAAAATCCTAGTAACATTTTGATTTATTTTGCTGTCCATGCCATTGCTTAGTACATAAATAGACATGATCAGAGCTACAAGCAGAGTAGTCTCAGCAATACCAAAGGAGGACTGCCTCAATGACCTTTTAGTAGGTGAACATATAAATATATGAAGAGAAAACATATGAAATATATATTAGCAAAACAGCAAAAATATATCTTACTATAATTACAAATACAAGTTCTGGCTACTGCAAGGCACTGAGTGCAATATTCTACCAAATGCAGCTCTGAAGAAATTCAGCTAAGGTTTTTTTAAAACATTAATAATAATTTTGTTTAGTTTTTTCAGATATCAATTGATCAAAAACAAAACACAAAATAAAGGAACAACTGTCACCTTTCAGACTTTCCCTCAGAGACCTCACTCACCAGGTACATTTCCTCCAGCCTCCCTGACATGACCACTGCCCTCTTCTCCCTCGCTTTCTCTGTGTCCTCCAATTTCTCCATAGTAGAGGGCAATGATCAACTGTAAAATGCGGATAAACATAGGTAGCTGCTGATCAGTAATGGACAATTTCAGGCTCTCCACCATGGTCTGGATCTGAGAAAGCACAGGGAAGAGAAAGCAAGAGATTACATTTTGAAATTTGATTTGTTAAATTATATCTTTAAAATGGGCTACTGGCCTAACCACTTTTGGGAGCCCCCCCACATGTCAGATAGAGCAGCCCATGTAAAAAACTGATTAAGATTCCCCTGGATGCTGAGTGTTGCATGTGCAGGACTTGTGTATGTGGCAAATCTTTCTGTGTAATTTTGGTGATGTTGATAGAACACAATAAAAACCACAAAGCTTGTTACTGTCTGTATATAGATTCTAGTGAGCCAATTCAGCCAGTTGAGAAAATTAGTTTAGCAGACAAATGGGATTGTATTAATTTTACCATGGTGTAACTTTATGGTTAACCAACGACAATTGCATTACACAGAAACCGAAACCACAGACAGCCACTGTGGATTTTCTGGTTGTAAGTATACAAAAGTCATTGATCAAAAGTTAAATATGCACCAGCATGCAACTTTTTCCCATCACAAATCGGACAACATAAAGAAATCTCTACCACATTAAGCAACAACTAAAGATGGCCAAGACAATTTTCAACAAATATATATCACTGTTCCACTGTCACAGAGCAGGAAAATGACTGTGACAGCCTGTGATGATTCTCTAACGAGAGAAGTGTGTTTATTCTGAATAAAAACTGTTGCAATTAGTAGGACAGTGAGCTGCTATGGAACTGATTCTCAATATTGTTTGTGTATTATTGTGTATGTTTTTTTGAACAAATATTGATTCAATTGCACAAGCTAACAAGAGAGTTCCTTTCTGGGACAGCCATTTTTTACAATCTCTTTAAAAAGCACTCAAGTCTAAAACAACAATTGCTTGTGCTAGTGCGGTAAGTACCATCATATTATTTTGTAATTTTGTACACCAAGTGAAATCTTGCAAAAACAAATATTGTCTTTATATATCCAGAGTGTCATTCCTAGAACAATGGACTGAAATAATAAAGATAAATGTATAAAGATCTGGGAGGAGCAGTAAGTCATATATTTCCATGACAATTCTGAGCTGTATGACATGTTTGGATGACAGCAAAGTTACAGAAGATTTACCTTTAAAAAATTCATTAAGTTATTACAAAAAGTTCAAGTTGCTCACTTTGATGACAGATGGGATCTTGGAATTGATGTTGTCATAGGTAAAATGAAGGCGAGTCCTGAAAGAGCATTTGTACAGCAGTGGATCCTGGTAAAACTCAATCTTGCCACTAGCATTCCGCTTGTCCAAGCAGACAGTACAGTCTGCAAAGTTGATCACTTTCCTTAGGACCAGCTCTGGAGCTAAATAGAGAGAAAAGAGGAGAAGAGAAAAGTAATCATTTTGTTTTGAACACAAGATGCTGACCCTTTGTGCTTGACACTAACTAAACATGTCATCTTATCATTAAACACACACAAATGTAATTATATGCACTAAAAGAGAGGAGGCTCTAAAAGTTAGGAATGCTTTCAGCTTTAATGTCCAGCTGACACCACTGTCTGCAACTGAACTGACATTACATAAGCAGGGGTGTGAAAGATACTTTTCTAAATAAAAAAAGAAAGTGTGTGCATGTACATGTGTGTGTGTGTGTGTGTGTGTGTGTGTGTGTGTGTGTGTGTGAAATGTACAGGGTTTCCACCATCATAGCAGTCAGTGCTTGGGGCAGACACACATTGTTGTCACTGTATCTCTTTACAGTGCTGGAGTGTTAAGTCAGTGTCTTCCCTCTCTACTCCATCGCTGGCCTTCACTCACTTTGCCCTTTACACTATTAAGAGGTTATAAGAACTTTTCTCATGATTTGACACCATCGATTAATACATAAATATGATTGTCAATTTGTGTGTGAAGAGTGATGAGCCGACACACTAAAACACACGTGCACACACACCCCTACAGACAGGGGCAAAGTTCTTTTGGGCAGATTATCTTACAGTGTGGTGTTCCTTTTAACGCAGCCTTAGTGCGCAAATGTTGAGAGCATTAAAATAATCAAATTAAACAAATCACTATTGATTGGGTGGGTGGCACTATTTGTTGAAATGCTCAATGCAAGCGACCACAGTAGCGTTCTGTAGTGTTGATATTCAGACACTTGATAAACCACACAGAGTAATTGGAGCATTTAATTATTTATCTTACTTATTTTTCGTCATGTTAATGTTTCATTCTAAGATGTCTGTTTGACCTTAGTTTGAACTAACAAAACTGAACACTTACTGTAGTATATAGGTTCTTGTCTTAGTGGATTTACTAGTTAATCCCACTACCAAGGAATGTAAGCAGCCATTTCTCACCAGTGATGTCCATGAAAGCCCTCTCCCACATATCGTCCACAGTGTAGCACTCTGCTGAGGTAATGTTGACCGACAGCACAATGTCATCTTCCACATACTTCAGGATCAGGTTGTTCACCACAATATTGACGTTGTTCACCACTCGCCTGATCAGACTCTGCACGTAACCTACAAACAAGTAATCACACATGAGAAACATGCATTTACACAGGAGGGCACAGAGGCAAGATTATATTAGTATATATTCACTGGCATATACAGTTCATTCAGCTGGCAGTTTATTGGATACACCTGGATAAAACAAATGTAGTCCGGTAGGAGAAGTGTGTGTGTGTGTGTGTGTGTGTGTGTGTGTGTGCGTGTGCAAAAGCATCTCAACATGGCAGATTTTCACAAAACCTTTTCCAAGATACTTACAAATAATTGCAAGAGTCAATCTCAGAAGTCAGAAAATGGCATCATGCATAATTAAAAAATGTAAGTATCTCTGCATTCTAAAGACACAACCTAAAGCTTTTATAGCTTGAAAAATAATTGATAGTTGAATGCACTAATTGGAAGTCGCTTTGAACAAATTGTTGCATGTAATATAAATAATGATCATATGATAGTCATCATCATGTCTTTAAATGGAATACAATCATGTAGTAATAATAACATATCATGTAGTAATGGATTAACTTTTGAAACAAATAAAATTATAGACATGATCTAAAGTATATTTAGATTCACTTATAATTTGTCATCATATGATATAAATAATGTCATGGTATAATGTCAGCATGAGATGGCATCATTACAATTTAAAGTTAGCATCAAGTCAGCAGTAGGTACATACAGTGTACACACAGGGTATACATCACCCCTTCCAAAGCTTTTCATTTAGAAATGGTTGGACGAAAAAGAAAATCCTGTCTGAGTATCGTAATACTATTGAACAGCACCACAAACTGCTTGAAACTCTCTAGAACAGCTTCCATAAAAATACAACATTCAGGCATTTATTGCAGGACTGATCAGAGTTTATAAGTTTCAGCTAGGTAAACTGCCAACTGAGTTACCAGGACACTTTAACTTCGTGTCACTGTCAAAAAAAAAATAAAACCACAGATCTGCATTCTCTGAAAATCTAAGCCCAGTACGACTGACCCATGCTATTTTCATGGACTCGTAAATAAGTGGAGGTCCTGACATGTTAGTTTTTGCCACAAACTATGCCTTGGACGTCTAAAGTTAGAGTAGCTAAGTATCCATAAGAAAACATTTTTACTACTCACCCTGCCTGAGCAGTGCTACAAATCCTTAGTGAATTTATGAATCTCTGAAGGGCTATCCTCTCAGGAGCTAAGTCATGTTCAACACAAAACTATGTACATGTTGATTCAAACATATCCCTCCCATGTCAGTTAAACCACTGGGGAACCTGTATGTTTACTTAACATAAGCAAGCTTCATTGCATGAGCCAACACATGTAGTCACACATTCAAAACACATGATTTAATAGAATTCTAGAAACTTTTTATTAAAGGATGAACATGCTGGGGGTTCTGCGGGAATGATGAATTCTGCCTAGTTTGAGCAGAAAAAAAGCCCACTAATGTATTCAGTGTTCTTCATCTGTAATAAATAAATTCAGTGCCCTTTCATTTCATAGTGCAATGACTGGACAAGTTGATTTAATAACTTTTATAATTTCACAGAGAGGGATTTGGGAATTTTGTGATGTTGATGGTGAGACCAAGAGCAATTTGCAGAAATGTAAAAAAAAAAAAAAAAAAAGACAGAATATAGAGTTAGAATAGATTTTATGGTGAAGGTGAAAAGTAGAGGGATGGTGGTTTTGTGGTGAAGAAGCAGAGGGATGCAGTAACCAAGAGAAAACAGGAGAGAAGGAGCAGTTCGATAGCTTGAGTTTCAGCAGAGCTTGGGGAGCCATCCCGCAGTGTTACCAGTACCTTTCTGTGGCCACAGTGACGCTCAGAAACAGAAGCTTTGCATGAAAAATATACACTGTAAGGTTATTACTCAACAAAGTAAGAAAGAGCTTAAAATATTGCAGACAGGGGAATTTCGACCATAAAATATGAAAACATACAGCAATATATTCTCCTAACCACAGGACCAATGGCATTATTCATTCCTCCCATGTACTGTTAAGCACAGTCACTACAACTGAAAACATATAAACCTTTAAAGCTTTTCCCTTATTTTCCAAACCAAATGTTTGTCTTCCTGTATCTACATGCCTGGCCCAGGGCATAACAGAACCGATAATTAGGCAGAACTAAATGGCTCTGTTGATAAAAATATTTATATGAATCGGTTAACTGTTGGGCCTCTTGCACATAAGGCCCACTGCACATTAGCATAATCCAATTGACAAAATTCTCATGAACTTGTTGCCTGACCAAACAGACTGGCATTAAGAGAGGATGACATAATATAAACTCAACTCATAAACGCAATGCCTGTTCATGTCATCTGTGCATGGGCCTGCATGCTTGCATATATGCATGTGCTTGTCTTAGTATGAGTGGGTGCCCGGTTGCTTTTGGACATGCATGAATGTGCCGGTGCATACACGTGTGTGTACGCATGCGTGTGTCTTTACATCTGGGGTCAGTAAGAAAGCTGCTGTCACACCTGCAGCCTGAGCAGTAAAACCAGCATTTTACCCCCTGCTATTTGGCTCTCTGGATCTAATTTGCCCATGTCAGGATTTCTCTCTTGCACTCTCTTACACTTGTTATACCTATTTTTGCCTTGCACCAACTCTAGAGCCCTAATCCGTCTCACAGCGAGTCATCGCACTGCTCTGAACTTCTGTAAACAATTGACACAGCCAGCACCTGTGCTATGGCCCACAGGGAAGGAGCCCATTTAAAACTGCTCAACCATAAAATGACTGGAAAAACCAGCTCCTTTATATGATCTAAGAACAAGCCAAGTACTCTCTTTTGAGCAATACAGGAAAGAAACACTATACTGTCCATGCTCACCATTTTTCATGTGTATGGAAAGTATTAGTGGCTAGTAGCCTTGCCAGTTATTAGACATGGAGAGAAAGACTGACAAGTCCATCAGACAATAAATATACTGTGGGTTGGTCCTGTGGTCTTATTCTGAAATGTAATTTGTATATTTAGTACTATAACCAAGAGGACACATACAATAGCTAGTGCGGGACAAAGCACTTTCAGAGTTAACAGCAGTTCAAAAATGCTATATTGGTGTTCAATTTGTCATAATGTCAAGAAAACCAGAAAAACTAACACTTAATTATTAGCTCTAGGACCTCTAAAAAAGAAACGGTAGATAAAACAGTAGTTTCACATAACCCAATGATGCATGGTACAGCAGGTCTCCAGAACAGAAGAAAGCTCCAGCTGGAGAAAGCTCCAACCTTTACCAATGTGGGATATTCTCTATCCATAAGTAGCATTTTCCAGTAATACCACAACAGCTGCTATATTCAGTTTCTGAGTTAAGGCCCCAGTACCAGGACATCAGTAGCACTGGACCATAGATTTATCTCAGGAGTGTGTTTGTATTTTAGTCCATGTAAATCTCAATCTCCACCAATCACACACATACTTACACAACCATGCATGCATACAAAACTACTGGACACAATGCCATACATTTAGATGTATGCAGGTCTTAGTTCAGCCTGGCAATGGTTCCCCTTGCTCTGGTACTCCCATAGAAAACACTGACACAAACTGTTGGTGGATAGCTGTACACAAGTACGCTATGTGAACGTGAAGCAACTTAAAACATTAACATGATACCTGCAGATGCAGATAATCCACTAGTATTTCGATGAAATGTCTCAATTAAGTTTTCACATATGAAAAGCAAGAATTCGACAAGAACAACAATTCTCTCACAGGTTGAGTATGTCTCTCATTGAAGCTGCATACAATCTGCCTTTACCTTGAGAAACTGATAAAGGCATTTCATACTAAAGCTCATAATGCACTGAAAGAAATCAATATTTTGCTGATATTTTGAGAGTTCAGCTTGAAAACCACTGTGAACCAACAAACTCACAGAAACCTAGACTAAAAGTGAGACTTCCACCATTAAATCTCTTTGAAGGCCTATGAAACAAAGTAGGGTTTCAGCAACGTGAAAAGAGCCAACACAGGAATCCCCTGAAACGCAGAAATGTGCTTTTCACAAACGGTGGCCACTGGACCCCCGCAAAGCAGCAGTAAACATAATCACTCACAGAATCGCTCAAGGTGGAAGCACTTGGTTTTTGGTCCTTGTGTGGCTACCAATCCAATGGCATATGAATTAACTTCTTTATTTTCCACCACGGGGAGAACAGGGAGGATAAATTCAGTCAGCATGTGAGGGCTTAGGGCCAAATGACTGGATAATTGCTGGTGGCTTGTTTTTTAGTGTCGGCTGTGTTTTGATTTGGTTGTTTTGAAGGGGAGGAGACCAGATGCAAAACCTACACACTGACAAAGAAGACTGCCCATTGCCCTGTGATGGTGTTTGTGCTAACACAGGTCTTCCTTAAAACATAGTGTACACACAACCTTGATACTTGCTGCCACTCCATCCATATGTAACTGCTTTTGTTGATCATTACCTTCCGAGATACTATGTTCCTTGAGTTGCAAATAAATTCAAATTTGAAGACACATGTATGCGGCTTAAAAATAAGGATTTTTTTTATTTTTGTGTGTGCTTTTTTTTTTTTACCTAAATTTACTTGATGTTAAGGAAAATGATTTAATAACATGAGGGTTCTCCTGTGGCCCATGACTAGGGCTGGGCAATTAGCTCTAACCTCAAGTTATTTCGGTTACTACCTTTTGTAATGCGTGCATTCACATTTCCGCTATGGTCATTTTGCAGCAGCAGCCCAGGCACCTTGTACCGTGCTGTATTACCCTGCCTCATGTCCTCCCTCCTCACCCCCCCTGCTGATCTGCACTCACTTAACACGTCATCAATCGTAATCAAGGTAAAAGTTTGAACTAATCGGGATATTGATTCGAAGTCACATCGCCGGGCCCTACCCATGACCGATCATTTTGGTTCCAGGCTCGGTTCAATTTGGTTCAGTACATCTTGCCTTATCCTGCTGATAAATAAACACACAAACCAACTAACTCTTCCATCTGCTAACCAACTGTAACTCTGTACCCAGGGTAAGACTTCAGATAAGGTTGATAGGGCATTCACTGTAAGGGCTCAACAAGTGTAGAATAACCTTTCATTGTCAATCAGACAAGCTACCTCAGTGTCGTCTTTTACAAGCCATTTGAAGACATTTAATTCGATGTTTTATCCATTGTCTCTTGCATTAACTTGTTTAAATGTATTTTTCTGATTTTATGTCTGTGCAGTACAAAACAGTTTTTGAAAAGTA